TGTTTTATGTTAAAGCTAAGTTGCTATCTCTAAATACTTAAACAAAGGATACTGGATTTTACATATTAACACTATTTACATGATTCAGATTGTTGTTATCATCTTTATTGTCATATTCACAGTGTTTCGGCCATTGTACACTCTAGCCTTCTTCAGGTGATATATGTTGGAATTTTAAACCAAACCCTTTATCTAGTAGTATCTGGGGTAGATTGTTCTAGTTCCACATTACCACTTTTCTGGATATCTCAGTTTCAGTTATTTTCCTTTAGTAACTCAACTTTCCAAGTTTTTGTTCAGGTATTGAACTCACAACTCTTTAGGTCAAGCCACTGGATTACTTCAACCAATGGCCCAGAGGATAAAAGTAATCCAGTGGCTTGACCCAAAGAGTTGGCCACAACAGAGGTGAACAAAAACCTGGAGAAATAACCTTATGTCAGAAATATAGTCATAGCAAATCATAAATAATTTCTGTTTTTTTTTTTTTTTTTTTTTTTTTTATCAACTTTATTCTTCAATAAATAAAGTAAAATTACATTTTATTCAGTTATATATTCACCATTATTTGTAATGACTTGTTGCCAATTAGCAGGAAGCTCTTCAATAGCTTTTTAGTAAAATTCTACTTTTTTTTTTTTTATCATTTCTCTTGCAAAAAAAAAAAAGCAAGTTGATAATGGCACTAAGACACAAGAGGTTACTGGAAGTTAAAAATTTAGAAGGAACCAGAAACCCAATCCTAAACATGGGATAAATCTCTACTCCTATTAAAAAATGGGATGTTGTAAAAAAAAATGTTTGCAACAAACTCTTGAATCTGGTTTTCATTAGAGAAAGTTTTGTCATAAAAGCATTTTGCAGTGATCAAAAAGGTAATAATCAGTAGATGCAAGGTTAAGTGAATATGGCAGGTGGATTAGAATAGACCAACATATTTCCAAAATTTTTTCCAGTTTTATTCTTGCTGTGTGCAGTCTTGTGTTGTCATGGAGTCTGACAACATTTTTCCTATTTATCAGCATAGTGCTTTTCAACCAAACCTTTATGGACACATTGCAGCTGCTGGGCATATAAATGTGAATTTATTGTTTCATTGCATTTTAAGAATTCTAAATGGATAATATTCCAGCAATTTCACCACATGCACAACCATACCTTTCTTCCACAGAGCTCAGCTCTTGGTGTCGTTTGTGAAGATTTATTCTTCTTAGTCCACTACCTTTTGCATTGGACATTATGTGTAACCCCTTTTTCATCGCCTTTTATGATATATATAAGGAGCAGTTAGAACAATATATTTGTCAATACAATTGGTTCTCAAAAATGGAAATTAGCTGTGACTCGACTGAATATTTTATCTAGAGAAGTAATGATTTGTTTTATCATAATGTGCTCATTTCCTTGAAACAAAATAGAAGAGTTCTTCTTTCAAAATTGTAGAGCAGCTTTCCATTTTAATTTGTTGAAAATGCAATAAAAAGTTAATCCATTTCTAATATCCCCCCCCCAAAAAAAATATTTTCATGAATTGTTAGTCGTCTACATTGGTTTTGTCTTATTAGAAAGAGAGAAACTACAATTTGTATATTTAACAAGGAAATAAGACAAGAGTTTGATTTGAATCAAGTACCAGACTTTACAAAGTGACAGAAACAGTAAAGATAGAAAAGATAAGAAACAACTTTGGTGATAGAGAGGGAAGGAAGATATGAGATTTTATACTGATTGGAAACAAGAGGGTTATCATCTGAGCCTGTATTGCTTGAAGGCAGTATTGGTAGAAAGGGGTGTCACTTGATATACACAGGAGATGAGGGGAAAGTTTAGTTTGTGATCTGTGCAAGAACTGCATTTAGAAGATGGGGTTGGAGAGTAAACGAGGTTGAAGGACAGATAAGATCACCACGGAAAGAGAAGTCGAGTGAAGTGAAAGCAAGGTGGAGATGATAATCTTCAAGAAACACCTGAGTTAATTAAATTGAGCAGTGACAAGATCTGTCAGCATAAGTCAAGATAAACCTAAGATAAAAGTCAGGTCTGATATAGGAATGGTGATTTGGGAAAACTAGTACAGGTGCTTTCTATAAGCTTACACACACACACACAATATCATGAATTTCCCACATTCTTCATAGTTTAATCTATAACCATTTACTATTACTTTCAACTACACTGATCTGATATTTGAGATTTTACAAGACTTTATAGGAGGAGCTCTTCTTGTTCTTTTGTCTTTTATGCTAGCTTTTAAAAGCATCATTAACATGGAATCAGATCCTTAAGCATCTGTTAATCTATTTCAAATATCTGTTGTGATTTATTTCATTTGAACATGAAAAAAGGCTTCCATTAAAATTGAGTTTTGAAGAACTTTTTCATTTTTTTTTTTTTTTTTTTTTTTTTGCTTGGGACTTTGAATAAAAAAAAAAAAAAAAAAAAGGAAAATTAATTTAAGATATCAATCTCAAAAAATGGTTTGTGATTGCATAGTATTGCATTATTAATCATATTTTTTTCTTAAGGCATTATCTAACATCTTCATTATCCCTATTCTTTTAGTGTGCTGCAGGCTGTTTTGAAAGAACATCCAATAATTTTTTATTATATTTCCAAGAAATAATTGTTTAAAGTGCTGGCCTGGCAATGTGACTTGACTGTTTATTGATTAATTTAGCTCTGTTATGGCAAAAGCAAATATTTCCAACATATTAAACATAAGACATTTTAATAATTTCACCCCAAGCAAGGTGATAAAAGCCACTAAGACACAAGGGTTTACTGAGAGTGAAAGAAACTTTGAGAAGACAAAGAGAAGGATTCAAGGAACAGAAGATAACAATTGACATTTCATTTAAGATTTTGAAAATCATAGTTGACAGGAAAGCAAGAAGCCAGTAGAATTACATAAGTGAGAAGTGCAGGAGAATAAACTATTAGCATAGAACTTGGGTTACAACTACCAATTTCAACAGTGAAATTATGAGACCTAGCTGCCAATCTAGTACTGCACTTAAATTCAGTGAGGTACCAAAGAGGAAAGCTCATCATAACAATTGCCATGTAAGTATTTTTAGAAAAGGTACAGGGATGCTACGTTATAGGAGTGTGAAAGTGACTGAAGCTGAGATGCTAGGTTAGAACCAATAACATTGCAGATTCTTCTTTGGACTTTATCAAAAGTTATTAAAAATCTTATTAATTTGCATTCTGAATCCAAGCTAGATTCTATGTAGCAGCTAGCAACATGAAGGCATTTTTGAAGATTTAATGTAAAATTTTAGTCAAATAAGCTTTTTATCCATGTCTCTCTCTCTCTCTTTATATATATATATATATATATATATAGTTTTGAACAATAAAAAATATTAAAAAATTAAAATCTTCAGACACACTGAGTTGTATATTAATATTCTTTCATTTTTATTATTTCAGTTAGATTCCTCGACTAGTTTCGGTCAGCATGGCCATCATCAGGAGAAAAAATTTTTTGTTTGTTAGTAGCAGTGAACTACAAAAATGAATGACTTGATGGAGAAAATGAACTTTATATGTAGTTTTCATTTGTTTTTTTAACATGAATTTTAGTCAGTCCTTGTGTTGGTCAAACAGTCTCTTTTCAGTTGTTATTTAAGATAAGAGCTGGATGGATTCATGCTGCTCTGAATTCCCTTGGACATTTTGACAGTTTTTATTGGTTCCTGGAAAGGGGATGTGTCTCTGTTAACTGTGTGTGTTATTTGATTCTTAAGGAGTGAGTGAGTATGATGTGTGTAAGTGTATATTAGTATGGGTGTGGGTATAAGTGTGAGTCCTCAACACCTCTGCAAGCATGTCTGTCATGTGTAGGTGAGAAATGTGGGTAGGGCCTGATCTGTGGGATTATATATTCTATCTATGTTAAATTTGTGATCAAGCCCATCTGGATGGAGCCTTTTTAGGCACAGAATCCATTTATCTTCATGGCCTTCTAAAATCTTTCTAATGTTATCTGCTCTGAACTTTTCTATTTTCTCAATTATAGTGAATTTGGCATGGGTTTTAAAATTGTGTTTTCATAGGTGGAAATGTTGTTCTATAGGTAATAATCTTTCATGGGGAACCAACTTAATTTGATTGCAGTAATTATTAATTCTGTAGTGAAAGGGCCATTCAGATTTTCCTGCATATTTTTCTGGCATAGTGTGCATTATAGGAGGTAAATTATGTTATGACTTCTACAGTTAGTGTCATGGTAGATTTTAAAAGTAGATTTAGTAACTGAGCTAGTGAATGAATTGGTGTGTCTAATGTGGTTACAGCATAAGCTCCTTTTGTTGTTACATGGGTTTGGAAAATCCTGTTGTTTTTGGTTTATTACAGATTACCTTATTTCCTAAAATGTGATTACTATATATATATATATAATCTCACACCTCTAGCATGACTCAGAATTTCATACACAATGCAATCTTCAGTTGTTGAGCTCAAATTGAGACTGTTTTATACTTTGAATCATATATATATATATATATATATATATATAGTTCGCAAAATGTAGTCAATATTAAAAACTAGTCATGTAAAACATCACATGAAAATGCATCTTGCTGCTAGCATCAGCCAGCAATTGTTTCCTGTAACAACAATTCTGTTAGCATGTATGTAAATCACTCTCTGGACTTAAAAGTTACCTACATGCCAGGTTTGTGCCAGCCAAACAATGATTCTTTATATCTCTGGCAACTTTTCTGGGCACAAAATAATAAAAAAGCAGAAGAGTCTTGCTCTATGACAAGTTGACTGCCACCATGTTTTATCATGGTTTCTCATGTTCTAATTGGTAGAGAACACTTTAGCCAAAAGAGTTGGCTTCCTTGATGGTAAGAAATAGAATACAGGTTTGATTGCTCTTGGAATGTACATTTTTCATGAAGAGGACTTCTCAATCCCTAGGCTGAGTGACATTAATTTCACTCTTTAAAATAACACAGATGTCAGTAAAACATGTATAAGAGGCTTATGGTCACATCAAGTTGAAACACCAGTTCCCATATGATCACCAAAGTTAAGCAACATTGAGCCTGGTCAGTACCTAGATAGGTGACTGCTTGGGCATACCAGGTGCTGTAAGTTTGGATGTGTGGGTGGTTTAATGGATAATGGCTTAGAATTGTTAATCGGATAGCTGATTTCCAATTCTTATTGGTTTGTTATATTCATTTACACATAAATACCGTTGGGAAAGGAATGAATCCATTTCTTCCCCCCCATTATGGGTTAATTAGTAAGGCTTGCATAACTAAACCATTGTCTTGAAAATGATTTTTATAATCTAAAAATATTTTCTGGCTTTGAATAGCCTACAATGGGTTGATAAACTGTAGAAAACTAATCAAAACATTAAACCTATTAAAATAATGTCAATAGTAATAAGAAATATATACACATGCATGCAATAATTCATTCTCTATTGTTGGTTCCAATGCAAGTGGAGGAATGGCTGCAAAACACTTTCCTCAGTTTATAGGCAGAAGCACAGAAATGCATGCTGGGATTTTTCCTACCTAATAAAATAGGCCTGTTCTCAGTTTTATATGACTCAGTCCCAGTCTATCTTGTCTTGAAGTCAGGATGCTACATTCATTTCTCTGAATTTGCTCTTCTATGTCAACCCCAATTCTTAGTTTATGAATATTTTGTCATATTACTGTTGCCTTGCCTTATTACTGTTAATTTACCTTGCATATATTGTTTGCTGGCTTTTATATTATTTTTTATCCTGTAGTTTTCCTAGTTATTGTTTATTGCAAACTTTGTTAATTCTGTTTGCCATCATCTGATTCTGTTCTGCCATTTATTTATATTTAACTATAACCACTCACTCTACATTTGTATAACTAGATAATACACGTACATACTGATGTTCACTTTCTCTTATACACACTATATATTAATATATGCAATCATCATAATTGTTTATTGAAATTACATCTTTTTGTTTTCAATCCATATTCATTTTTTATACCTCATATTCATAATAGCCAGTATTTAATTACTTCAGTTGGAGTAGCACAGTCGTATTAAATTATCTACCCCTTCCACATATTTCCATCTATCTTTGTTGTCTTTAAGAAACAACATTGGGAGCAATGGATAGTTCTTTGATTCTTGGCAATGTATAAGGTTAGCTTTTCACTTTGGATTTCTGTCATGTAGTCAGTTCAGTGTGAAATAAGATTCAGCTAAAAATAATTGACTTCATGGAGATCAAGGATTTTTTTTTTTAACTCTGCACATCAACTCTGAATTATTTGTATTTTGTTTTAAATATAAGAAACTATTCAGACAAGCATCCATATTTATTCAAAATACAAGGGTCAGACAAAAAGTAATGCTTGTTACTTCATTAGTTACAACAGATTTAATAATAGAAGCACACAAAACATCAAAATAAACAGAAAAGTCTTGGGATTCAAAATTTAATCAACAACATCAGGATTCAAAATTTAATCAACATAGTCACCTTTCTTTGTAATTGTTATATTCCACCTTCAAATGAGACCATGTATATCTGTTCTGAAGAAGTTTCTTGATTGCCTTATTAGCCATATGCCTGTTGTCTCATTGAAGAACCATTGTCCCAAGTGCTATCTATATTGTACAGTTATACAAGTTCTTGAGCAGTCAACACCCTCTGTTTGTCATGGAATCAGCATTCTAGGAACCCACTTTGCACAGATATTAGAGTAGCCAAGAAAATGAATTAAACTACATATTCTATAACTTTTGAAATTAAAACAAGCATTATGTTTTTACCAATTAGTTCTGCTTGATTTAAACATTATTAATAAATTATGACATTTTGGTTTTTATTATGTACAAGGGGTGGCAGAAATACCTCCCACATATACATTCCACATAATGGTAAGACATTAGTGACATGATGTCTTCATCTAGCTAATGTCTTAACATTATATAGGAGATACTTCTGCTACACTCTGTACTTCTTCTTTATCTATGTGCCATGTCTATGACAGAGAAGGATAACCAAATATAGGATATTTTAATGGTGTACATACGACATTGTTTTAAATAGGTTGATTATTACTTTTATGTGTCACGTTCTTTCAGGACATGGGTGATCATGGCTCTCTTCACAATTTAATGTCCTTTGTTGCCCTAATTTTGTCTTTTTGCTATATCTTTGCCATTGTGATGTTTATAGCAATAAGAACTATAAACACATGCATACAAAGATGGATTAATAAATGAGAGTTACTAGCTTTCACTGTATAAAGTTCAATCTATGTGATGAATGCAAGTGTTGAATTATATTGAAAAATAAATATTTATGTAAAATAAATGCCTTTTTTATCATTAGACTACTGATTGTTGTACTATGTTACTGAAATCTAAGCATAAAATTTATTTAACTACAAAGAAATTGGAAATATTTGTTGTTTTAAGAGAAGAAAGATAGCAATGTATATGCAAATTTTGTTCATTGCTGTTCTTATGAAAATGGTCACTAACATAAAATGAAAAGAAAAGCAGTTTTAATCATCTAATGAAACCTTACAATAAAATTTTTAAAAAGACTGCATTTCTACTTGATTATGGTTCAAATTTAATAATCAAAACCTTTTCAAATTGAGATGTTTTACAAACTAAGCAAAAGTACATGATTTTGAAGGGTTCCATTTCTTACCCTGTTTTATATTCTTTGAAAGAAGACATTACAGGTCTTCATAATCATTTTAACCACTATGTTCCCCCAAGCTTAATTTTTCTTTAATTACACACACACACACACACACACACATACATACATATATACATACATATATACATATATATATATATATATATATATATATATATATATATATATATATATATATATATATATAGTCATCCATAGACAGACTGTTTTGCTGATTACAGCTCATCAGTGTGGCTAGATGTCCAGTTGCCTCTAGTTATGATTGAAACCTGGCTGAATTGGCATCAGTTGGAGATTCTACCCCTAAGTCACTGACACACAGCAGGGATGAAGCTGAATTTAAGCGTATTTATTTTTAGATAAAGACACAGTGACTGAGAGAACTTGATTTGCTTTACTGAAGAGTCTTGCATTATTATCAATAATAGACACTGTTTACAAACTCACACTTCCTCCTCAGCTTAACCAAAATAAATTTTTCAGGAGCATATATATTGTCATCCACAGACAAACTGTTTTGCTGTATCACAGCTCATCAGTGTGGCTAGACATCCAGTTGCCTCTAGCTAGGATCAAAACCCAGCTGAATTGACATAAAGTATATATTCAAATGTTATTATAGTGGATATCTATATTTGAGTAGATGTTCTGGTCAAAACATGTCAGATCAGACACTGGTTTTTCTGGTACATTTTCTTTAATAAGTTTTCTCAAGTGTTCAGGCTGGTAGATGAAATAAACAGTGTGTTTACACAAATCCAGGCATTCACTAAAAATAATGTTTGAAGTCATAAAAATGTTGGATTATAAAATAAAATCTATTAGTTCTTTTGAAATATATATAATATTAATACAAATACAAAATTTGTCACTTAGGTGATTCATGTTATATTCAGCACACGCTCACTGGTTGAAAAAAAATACCTTGGGTGTTTATTGTGGAATATAAGTTAAAATTATTTTTAACTGATTTGTTTGGAATCCTATCTTCATCTTGATTGTTACTGTCACAATGTTTCTGTTGTAACCTCCAGCCTTCATCAGCTGTCTGTTCAAAATTGTTCTCATTTCACTATGTTAAAAAAGTATCTCATTTCACTTAATTTTTCATTGTAATATAGCTTGTTTCCTCCACTGAAACTGATATTTTTGTACTACCTGACCAAGAGATTGAACTCACAACTGCCAGATAACTTAATTCTGTTAACCAATACCTTTTTTCTACTTAGACATAGAACAATGCATTAGTGAAACTGTGGAGCCTTAAACCTTATTCTGATAAAAATTAAATTATGTTCATTTAACTTTCTATTGTAGTCTTCTGAAAAGTACATAAGAAATTGTGGTTTCTCATTGAATTACTAAGTCAATCAGTATCAATAAGTGATCATTTGAAATTATCAGATGCCTACATTTCACTTAACACTAATGGCTAGCTATACAAGTATTCATTTTAAGATGGTTTGGTTTCTTATCTATCACAAAGGTTTTGGGTATGTGACTAGCAACTTTACTCTGTAAAACCTACTTGCTACTGAAAAATGACAAAATCACATTTTTGCAATGAGTATTGTTGAGGCCCAATACTCCTGAGGGAATCTACAGGTATCAACAACATTTCAAATGTTCAAGGGTTGGCCAAACTCATTCATAATCACTTGACTTGTCAACCTTTGTATTGAATAATTGATTCATGTGTTCTGAAAAGGAAGGTGTACATGGAATATGAAAATATTTAAGATTTTTATTGTAGGTGTTAAATGTCATTATTTTTATTTTGCTTGCTTTAGACAAGTTTAGAGAAGGCTCAAGTAGTTTGTATATATATATATATATATATATATATATTTATTATATATATATATATATATATATATAATACCAGTTGGGATAATTCCAAGGAGAACATTAATCCAGAGAGAGCTCAATGTAAGTAACAGAGCAATATAATATACTTAAAAATCCATTTTGGTTATAATTTATTTCATGAATACATTTATTTAAATACTCATCTTTTCAGACTGAAGGTTCTTTTTAGAAATCATTAAAAAAAAAAAATCAAAAAACCTATTATTATATCCATCTCTATCTATATATATATATATATATATATATATATATATATATATATTTTTTGTTTATATGTTATTTTAATAGATACAGTTTATTTAAGTAAATGCTCTGTTTTGTTACTTAAATAAATTGATTCCATTAAAATAACATATGAACAGAAAATATATTAAATAATTGTTGGACTTAATCCATTTCATAATAATGTGTGCATTTGTTTGTTTACATAGACAGATGGTGCTTGCTGAACCCACTTTATTTTCCACTCTTTTAATGCTTGAAACTCTACTTCTGAAGACAAAGAAATAGATTTTTTCTCTTTGTTCCTGAGGGTACA